TAAAAGTCGCGCTGCACAGTCACACCCCTGCACGGTTATGCCGTTGGTAATATAGGGCGCCGACAGGGGGACGGGGGCGCGGATACCGCGTTACCGTCGCCGCAGGCGGTCAGACCTGCGGCCCACCTGTGACCTGGAGAGGCCCTAGGGCCCAGGGCCAGGCATGTCTCCTGGGTGTGTGCCGTGCACCCTCATTGCACCGTTTGTATGTCTGCAGCTTTATTTTGGCTTGCTTTCGTGTTGAGTTAGCTGCCGTCAGCACTGGGCGGCTACTGTAGTTTGTGTGTAACCCCTGTTGTTGTTTTCAATCGGTTGGTCACAGTGACAGGGGGAGTCTAGCTGGCCTAGATTACTGGAACAAAGCAAAGCAAAATCAGAAAGCGCGTCCCTGTGTTACCTCGGCGTGACAGCCTGTGCGGTGGGGCCGAGCGAAGGTTTTTGTGGACTGGCGCACTTGGCCCTCATGTTGCAACTGGCAGCGAGAGGGACGCATGACATCAATATGATCTTCACATGTTGCTTGCCCTGCTTGCTGATGATACCCGCCTGACCATGGCCCAGCTGAACCTGCCACTGCAGCGTGGGGCTCAGGGGCAGTTGAAGCATAGGCATTACGCCTGCAACATCAGCTCGCAACACCGCGTGCAGTGCTCGGCTCCACTTGTCAAGATGGTTCACCATCACAACCACACCAATGTTGCGCTGCGTCAGCCACAACACCACGCATGAATTGAGATGCGGGGCGGTGATGTACGTTGCGATCAGGGGGCGCGCGCGTGTGCGTGTGTGAGTGTGGATGGTGTGTGCGTGCATGTGTGCTCCTGCAGCACGTCCCTGCCCAGTTTCCTGCAGCACAGACGTGCTCGATCAACATCTAGAACCATGCCAAGTCCCAAACACATGTATTGGCTGCAGCCAGTATGTCCATTGAGTACAGGCTCAGCAGAGGCAAGTGCTCCGTTTTGCAGGGCGATATGTGTCACCCTGAGATCTGGTGCTGCAGCAACTGCAGCTCCCCAGGGGCGTCGGCCTGCTGTGGCACCGGCGTTGCAACCAGCCGCATACTTGCAGGTGCAGAGGTCCCGCCAGCCCACTCCTATACTGTAGGGGGACACAATATGTCCCCCTCGTCGCCTAGCTCCCTCAATGAGCAGAGGAGCTCCCTGGCACAGTCGACCAGGTCGGCCACAGACGACAGCTGGCCCTCCCCACCCATCGCGGGTGACACCAACGGCCCGGTCGACGCGGAGCCGTCGCCTGCGTCCGACTGGCCGCTGCAACCCGTCTGCTGCGGGTCAAGGACAACAGGACGAGTCAGCGCGCGGCACGGGGGGCCACAGATTCCAGCGCGCCAAACCATGCCACCCCTTTCGCTGCTGCAGCAGCTGCCCGCTGCGCCTGCGTCGCGCTGGCCAAAGCGGCAGCTGTCCGACGCCTCACACCGCTTCCGCGTGTGCATGGGCGGGCTGCTGTGCTTGCGTAGTGCGCCTGGCACCATGCCCCTCGCCGCCTGCTGCCTGGCGTCGCCTGCTTGGAGCTGCAGCTCAGCGCGGTCGCGCTGTAGGGAAATGGGCGCATCTGCAGGGAAGCTGCCCCGAAGGATGGTGCCAGCGGTGCCAACATCGACTTCAAGGTCCCGTCGCTGCTGCTGCTGCTGCTGCTGCTGCTGCTGGTGCTGCTGCCCCTCCGAAGCCTGCCCCAGCTGTCGCTCCAGAAGCTCTGCCTTGGCGCGGGTGCGGCGCGCCGCATCCCGCTCCGCCTGCAGCTCGTCCCGCAGCAGTGCCCCGCGCCGCTCCGCCGCCACCGCCCGCTGCGCCGCCGCCAGGTCTGCGCGCCTTGCGGCCGCCGCCGCCGCGGCCGCCGCACGCGCCCCTGCCGCTGCGGCCGCGCGCGCCTCGTCGGCGGCCGCGGCCTGGGCTTGGCTGCGGGCCAGTTCAGCCTCCGCCGCCGCGAGGCGCCCCTCCAGGAGGCGGGCTCGCGAGAGCGCCTCTGACAGCCCCTGCTCCACCCCTCCAAGCTCCGCCAGGCGCCGTGCCTGCGCGCCAGCGCGCTCCTCCGCCGCGTGCAGCCGCGCGAACAGCTCACGGGCCTGCTCCCGCTCGCGCTGCAGGTCGTTTTGAGCGGCCAAGGCCCGCGCCTCGGCTTTGCGCAGCGCCTCGGCGGGCTCCCAGGCGTGGGTCGTGTCGACGCCGGCAGCGGGCTGATGCACACAGGACGCCGCCTGGGGTTATTGGGGCGCAGTGGAGGGGACGCGGGACGGGCCTGTTTTCAGAGTTCAGAGTTTCAGAGTTCAGAGTTTAAAGAGTTGATTGCGGCACTCATGCACATTTCTCTTGAAAGGCATGGTGAAGATGCAGGGGTCACACCTCCCGACAAGCGGTGATGCTGAAATTGCCCCGCACACCTTTGGCCGAGCCTCCCGTGCTACGGCCCACTCGGCGTGCCGCTCCTCAGCAGCCGCCAGCTCGATTGCCAGCTCTGCTGCCCGCTCCTCTGCTCCCTCGCAGCGCCGCAGCACCTCGGCCGCCCGCACCTGCGCGGCCTTGCCCTGCGCTTGTGCCACACGCAGGCGCCAGGCAGCAAGCACGCCTCGCGCCGCCCGCAGGCGCCGGCGTTGCAGCACCGCTTCTGCTCGCTCCTCAGCCATACGGAGCCGCGCGCTCTTTGCCGCTGTGAGCCGCCATGTTTCCACGGCGCTGGCGATGCGCCTCCGCGTGTCCTGCATTGACAGCTGCCGCAGAGCCGTGCCAGCAGCCACCTGGCGGCGCCATGCAGTGACCACGCGGCGCAAGCAGGCGCGCGCGTGGTGGCGCGCGGCCGCCGCCGCTGCAACGCGCTCGTCCCGCCTGTGCGCCACGTGGGCAGCCATTCCGGCCAGCCCTGCGCGTAGCAGGCGTGCATCCTGCCGCGCGCGCAGGCGCAGCAGTTGGCGATCTCGGCGTGCCGCTTGGCGTGTGGCGGCTTGCCTGGTCAGGTTGAGGTTGCGCGGGTAGTGGACAGTGTGGCGGAGGTAATTGCAGTCACAAGAAACAATGACTTTGTGACACATGCCAACAGTCGGCAGGGGCGCTGCCGGCAAGCCTGCCAACGGGCGGGCCGACAAGGCGGCCGGCGCGCTGCATGCCTCGATGCGCAAACCGTCCTCCAACGCACCACGCAAGGAATGCCTGGCGGCGCAGGCGCCGTGCCGCCAGCCGGGGCAGCTGCACCTCGAGCAGGGCCCGCAGCGGCGCTAGCGCCGCCGATACCGGCCCTGACCGAGGGCCGCCCTCGCCTTCGCAAGGTCGCCCTCGGCCAGCGTCCACTGCTGCTGCTTCTGCTTCTGCTGCTACTGCTGCTGCAGCTGCTGCTGCTTCTCCTGCAGCAGTTGCTTCTGCTACTGCTGATTGCCTGCCTGAGAATGTTGGCAGTGCCATATGTACCGGCACTCCCAGCGCGAGTGCGGCCCGAGCGTGTGCAGTGCCGCTGGCCTTGCCACTGCTGGCGGCCGCCTGCTCAACACCGAAAGCCGCGCCAGCTGCCAGGCCGCCGTGCCCCGCTCGCCAAGCGCGCAGCGTCCGCAGCAGCAACGCCCTGCTGCTCCGCCGCGAAGCACGCCGCATGCAGCTCTCCTCCCGCTCGGCAGCCTTGCGTGCAGCTGCCCAGCCAGCCAATGCGTGTCGCAGCAGGTGCCGCCGGCGCAGCCTGTGGGCGCGCTGCAGCCCCTGGAACGTCTGCTGGACCTCCAGTGGCACCCAGGGCAGCGCCGCAGGCACTGCTTCTGCAGGCCGCTCCACCTCGCGCGTCGCTGCGGCGCCAGGCTGGCCTGCCCACGCGTTCCGCTGCCGCGCCGCGAGGCTGCTGGAAGGTGAGCGGCGCACCTCTGGCGTGCGAGGCAGAGGGGCGGCCCTTGCATCGCCGCCCTCGGATGCTGACGACGAGCTTGACGCCGCCCCTAGGCCCCGCAGCTGCCACGCGTGGCTGGTGTAGAAGCGCCAGCTCAGCAACGAACGCCGGCAGAGGCGCGAGCGCCAAGCTGCCTCCGCATGCTTTCCTGCCTGCCTTGTGGCACTAAAGGATGACGCAGTGGGTGTGTGAGAGGAGATTACTCGGCATTGTTGGCTTGCTTGCGCTGTGATGGGGAGTTACTGTAGCAGTCAGCGACTGCAGCGTTTGGTCAACCCCTCAAGCCAGGTTGTGCACTCAGCCTGCACTGTGCAGCCCAGCTTCCAACGAACACGCGTTAGTAGCAAAAGCCCCGCACGCACCTTCGCTCTGCCACCCTGCGGCGCCAGGCATACAGCACGCCTCTCTGCAGCCCCAGGCGCCGGCGCAGCATGAGCACGCTCAGCGCCCGCTGCTGCGCTGCGGCCTCTCGCAGCCGCCGCAGTGCCCAGCGCGCCAGGCACACCTCGCCGAGGCGCGCCAGGCGCGCCTCCTCCACCCGCCATTCACGGCGCTGCCAGGCGGCATCGTGCCAGCGCAGCAGCAGCCGGCGGCTCAGAGCCACGTTGCTGAGCGCGCCGGCGGCTGCTTGGCGGCGGCGCGTCACCTCCAGCGCCCAGTGCTGCTCCTGAGCCTGCGTATGGTCACAACGGGGACCACGCACGGTTGGGGGGAAGTGCGTGAAGCTGGAACGTTATCGAATTGACAGCGAGGCCCCGTAAGCCAGGCCAACCAGCCGGGAAAGGGGCAGGTGAGGGCAGGGAGGGTGACGAGGCACCCGGCAGATACCCTCCTGGCACAGGGGGCTCCCCAGCCCCTGATCTTGCAGTACAGATACCGCAAGCAGCGGCCCACCCAGTGGTTATGTCAGCAACCCGAGCGCTCACCTGCTGCAAAAGCACTCCGGCGGCATGCCTCTCGGCCACAAGGGATGCGGCCCACCTCTCCGCATCAGCAGCACGCTGCTCCGCTGCCCCGGCCCGAGCCAGCAGGTGGCGCTGTTCCTCCTCAAACACTGCGCGCTGCGCCGCCAGTTGCTGCTGCTGCTGCTGCTGCTGCTGCTGCTGCTGCTGCTGCTGCTGCTGCTGCTGCTGCTGCTGCCCCTGCCAACACCGCTGATTGTTATCCACCTGCTGCTGCTGCTGCTGCTGCTGCTGCTGCTGCTGCTGCTGCTGCTGCTGCTGCTGCTGCTGCTGCTGCTGCTCGAGCGAACACCGCAATTCGTTTGCCACCTGCTGTTGCTGCTGCTGGCATGGTGAGGGCAGCAGCACCTGCTCCTGCGAGCAACTTGCACAGTGTGGGGTAGGTGACAACGCCTCCCCTGCTCCCTCCTGGATTGGCCTGGCAGTAGTAGCCGCGAATGATGGGTTGGAGGGGTTCGGGCCTGACCGCACGTTGGTTGACAGGGGCACCAGCATTACGTGATTGACACATGCTGCACACTGCCCCTTGTGCTGCTGCGCCTCCTGGGAGTGTTCCTGCCAGTCCTGCGGCTGCTGCTGCTTTGGTTGCCGTTGCACCTCTTGCTCAGCCTGCTTCTGCTGCTGCTGCTTCTGCTGCTGCTGCTGCTGCTGCTGCTGGTGTTGCTGCTGGTGTTGATGCTGCTGCTGCTGCTGCTGCTGCTGTACACACCCCTGATTCGCTCCCGCCTGCTGCTGCTCCTGCTCCTCTGGCAGAAACTGCCACGGCGGCTGCTGCTGCTCCATGTGAGCCTCAAACGGCCCGCACATCCTCCCAGATTCGCGCCCCGTACAGCGCTGAGTATCAACCCAATTCTGGATGATGGTAGGGGCCCAGCCGGCTCCGCTGCCCTGACTGCTGGGCACCAGGCTGCTGGAGTCTGCCACTGTGTTCAAGGAGCCGGCCTCTTCCAGGGGTTCACACACAACAGGTCTAGACAGGCTGTTTGGGACTGGGGCGCTGCGCCGCGCTGCAGAGCTGCTGCCAGGCAGGGATGCGCCAATCGACAGCGCCTGCACATCCTTGGGACTTGCAGCTGACGCCCCCGCTGCCACCGCTGCTACGGATGCCTGCTGTGGCACCACCGCCCCCTCCGCCTCCGCAGGACTGGTAGTAGCTGTCGCCGGTGCTGCGGGTGCGGGCATCTGCTGGCTCGCCTCCGGGCAGGCCAGCTCCAAAGCGGCATCGCAGCACGCCACTGGAGGAACAGCGAGCTCTGCACCTAGCAATGGGATAAAGCACTCCTGCAAGATGTCCTGCTGCCGCTGCTGTTGCTGCTGCTGCTGCTGCTGCTGCTGCTGCTGCGGCTCCTGCTGCTGCCGCTCGACAGCTGATGGCTTGGGGGCAAGGAAGGGCTCAAAGGCAAAGCTTGCCTCTGCGCCCATCAAAGGCGGTGGGGCGGCAGCCTGCTGAACAGCGGGGGCCTGCATGCTGCCGGCCAGTTTGCCGGCGCTAGCTAGACGTTGTCCCAGGTGTTCACTGGAATTCTGCTGCTGCTGCTGCTGCTGCTGCTGCTGCTGCGGTGGCAGTGGCGCCTGCTGCTGCTGGGGCAGGGGCAGCTGTTGCATTTGCTGCTGCTGCTGCTGCAGCAGAAGTTGCAGGTGTGCTGGCAGCAGTGCCTCAGATGGTGGCTGTGGCTGCCACCGAGAGCTCGTGCTGAGCAACGGCGGGGGCAGGGGTGGTTGTCCCATTGGCACTCCGTGTGCTTGCTGCCAGTCTCCCCAGCTGCTACAAGGGCTCGAAAGACTTGCAGACAGATCCTGCTGTTGCTGCTGCTGCTGGCGCTGGAGCGGCGGGGGCGGCGGCGTTGACAATGGCTGCTGCTGTGACAGCAGTGGCAACCCTGGCGGAGCCCACTGCGTGCTGCGGTTGCTGCAGCTGCTTGCTGGCGCGATCAGATCATCGCCAGCAGCCCCCATGGCAGCAGTCTCCTGATCCTGTAACTTCGACGAGGCTGCCGCAGGTGCCGCAGACAGCCTCTCGGCTGCGGCCACTGTTCTGTGCACCTCGCCTCCAGGCGCCATGACATCAACCCCCGAGAGCGGCACAGCATGCGGGGTCCCGGGGCTCGAGGGGCCCACATGGAAGTGCAGGTGGATGCTTGCTGGGCCGCCCGTGCCGCCGCTGGTGCTCCTGCCGCTGCAGCTGGCTGGGCTCGCAGCCAAGTCACTCTGACGCTGCAGGCTCGGCGTCCCTACCGCTGCGCGCCCACTTGGCAAGCATTGGCTGATGCATGCAGGTGTGTCTTCCCCGGGGCTGTTCGCGTTCCATCCGGCTGCAAACGGCAGCTGCGGAGGGGAGGACAGACCCAATCGCCGCTGCATGTCAAGGCTGCTGCAATTTGGCAAATCAGATGCGGCGGCAGCGTCTTCTCCCCAAAACTCGGCCTGCCAAGCGGCTGATGTTGGCACATGTTGACCTGCGCCTGGCCCCTGCGCCTGCTGGGGCTCTTGCTGCTGCTGCTGTTGCTGTTGCTGCTGCTGCTCCTGCTGCTGTATAAGCTGCTCCCTGCGGAGTGCGCTCGCAAGCAGTCGCGCCGCAGATGGGCTGAGGCCGCAGAGCGATGCCTGGGCGCTAGGCCGCGGAGGCGTGCGGGGCCCATCAGACGGCCCTGCGGGTGATGACGCACGGTGACGGCCTGGCGACGATGACACCTGCCATGCACAGATTGCTGATCTCAAAGTGACTGCGTGATGGCTCTGAAAATATGAGGACGCATGAAGGTTGGGTCCATCACGCAGCCATGCAGCAGGTCAATGACGTGAGTAGTACAAGCAATCCAAAACCCCTGTTGCCATCCCCAACCATCCTCACCGTGAAAGGCCCCGGGTGCCCCAGCAGCGAACGTCTCACGCCGCCGCCGCCGCCGCCACCGCCGCCACCAGCAGCGCTGACGCTGCGCGCCGCCGCGACAGGGCTCGAGCTAGCAGACACTGCGCGCCGCCGCAAGCTGATGCTGACGTGGCTGCTGCTGCCGCGGCCCTGCTGGCCGAGGAGCAGCGTATGCGACGGAGACGGCGGCGACGCCGAACGCGTGCGTGGCCTGCCGCCTGCCGGGGGACTGATGCATGGCATAGGCCCTGATTTGACCACAGAGAGGCAGGCCCTCGTGCCTTGCACAGCATGTGACTCCTGCGGCTGCGGCCCCATGCCCGGGGCACCAGGTGTGCAGGGCCGCTCCCGCGGCTCTCGCTGCTCGCCCCATTCAGTGCCTGGCAACTGCAGCGCAGCAACGACGCCCGCCGCACCGCCATCGCGACCACCGCCATTGCTGGCACGGCCGCCACCGCCACCACCACCGACGCATGCGCTGCCGCCCAAGCTGTAGGAGCGGTGGCCGCCAGACATCAGCGCTGCAGCCAAACGGGGTCCTGCCTCTTCAGTGCCGTCCTCCGCATTCCGCTGCGAGCTGAGCACTGAGCCCTGCTGCTGGCAGGCCGCGTGCCAGCCGCCGCCCGCCAATTCACCACGCGCCGGCTGCATGGCTGCTGCACCGCTTGCAACACGGGCCGCCAGGTTTGCGGCGGTGTCTCTCAGGTCAGTGATGAGCTGCTCCCTGCATGGACGAGTTGATGTGCGTGGCAGGGGTCGGGGCTGGAGGGCGGCGCAAGCTGACGGCGTGATCAGCCGAGGGGGAAAGGCAGCAGTGGTTGAACAGTAGGGGGGTGTGTTTCCTCATCGGGAGCCTTTCTGCTTCTGCATGCGCCTGAACCCCTTCATAAAACAGATGACGTTGCCTGTAGATCACGCCCTGCCGCTCCCCGGCTCCCTGCGTGGGAGCTGTCGTTGCTGCCCCTGAGATCAGGCACGTCCCTACCCTAAACCCCGAAACCCTAAACCCAGCAAAGACTCCAGCCCTCACCGCTCCAGCCGGTGCCCCGCCATCGCCGCATCCTGCCGCCCCTGAGCATCGGCCGCAGCGCCAGCCAGCAGGTCATGCGCCGTGCGCTGGGCAGCTGCTTGGCTAGCGTTGACAGACTCGATCAGCTGCGTGATGGTGCGCTGCTGCGCCAGCATCACCTGGCGCGCCCGAGTGTTGGCGCAACGGGGCGCGAGCGACGCTTGCCTTCGGGAAGTAAAGCAAAACGTGCGGGTGGTCAAAGAGACGATGCGAAGGGTCCTGTTGGTTGAAAAACAGCATGGGCGCCCCTGCGCACCGCTCCTCGAGCTTGCGGTCTGCCGCGCATGCGCCCACCTGGGAGTAGGCCACGTCCCAGGACTGCAGCGCCGTGAGCCGCCCCCCGCCTGGCTTGAGCTCCGCGGTGGCCCGCGCCAGCTGGCGGTGGACGCGCACCACCTCCCGCTGCAGGGCGCCCAGGATGGCCGCGCGCTCCTGCGGCACGGTGTTGGAGTGGCCAGCCGGGGAGGAGGGGGTCGGCCGGCAGGGCTGCCACAGTGTGGAACGGACATGATGCGCTGATACGAGGTGGGTTCACACTGACGGCGGCGCGGTCACTCTCTGGTACGCGGCAACCTGGGCGGGCTTGTGGGCGGGCAAGCGCCCCAACCCCCTCCCTCCCCGGGTCCAGCGGCAAGCGAGGGCGCACCCTGTCTCCCAGTGAGCCCTCGTAATCCCACAGCCTGAGCAGCCGCAGGACATCCACCTCCACTGCAGTCGGCAGCATGAGCGCGCCCATGCGGGCGCCGGCGCCGAACAGCGCGCGCCGCAGCTCGGCGTGCAGCTGCAGCAGGCGCGACGCATGGGCCTGGGGGTGTCCCAAGGGCATCAGCGGGCGAAGCGGTTGCGGGCTGGCTGCCGTGCTCCAAGGCTATACTCATGATCATGCATACACATTCCTTTGCAACGCCAGCAGCGTCTCCACTATGTCCCCGAACCCCCGCCCTCTGAGCTGACTGGCAGGTTTGGATTGCCCAGCAGACGGGAGTCTGAACGGCCGCAGCAGCTCACGAGCTTGTGCACGAGGCACGCGTTGCTCAGCATGACGGCCGTGCACGCCGCCTCGGCCTGAATCGCCACCGCCGCACGTGCGCGCTCCTCCGCCGTGACCGCACGCCCGTCGAGCGACAGCAGGCGCGGCAGGAGCGCCAGCACGCGCGCCCGGTAGTTTGGCAGCTGCGCCAGGGGGTTTCCCTCCAGCGTGAGCACCTGGAGACACACAGCAGGTCGCACGCGGTGAGCAACGCTACTGACCAGGTACAAACGCATGCATGCGAATCAGGAAGCTGCTGCGAAACGGGTGCCCCTCAACACAGTAAGCATTACTCGCTCGCATCTGGCCCGTTGCTCCCCTCCTCAAGAGCCACCCTCAAGCGCACCTCCAGCTGCGGGCAATTGAGCAGCGCCACCACATCGTCCGCGCGCTCAATCAGGTTGCTGGCCGCGGACAGCACGCGCAGGCCCTGGAACTGGTCGGCGCCCTCCAGCGACCGCAGGCTGTTGCTGGAGAGGTACACCACGCCGCAGCCGCGAAACTGCGCCGGCAGCTCGTCGATGTGCGTGACGCAGCACGAGACGGCGCTGGTGTCGGCAAGGGCATAGGCGTTATGGACGGGTGGTGAGCCAGGCGGGTGGCGGGCCCCAAACCCGTGTCAGCCAAGCAGGCGTCGGCCCCCACCCCGCTCAAACGGCCCTCGCAACAGCCGCACCTGAGCTTGACTCCATCGCAGCGAGCTGGCTGCTGGCACAGCGCCACTGACAGTGGGAGCATGATATGCTGCTGCTTCGGCGTCGGGTCCTTGCGCACCGGTGGTGGGCTCGCGCCACCTGCGCAGCTGCGCGCAACGCGCATCGCATGCTGGCCCGCATACGCAGCAGGCGGCGAGTCTTGCATCAGCAGCTGAAAAGAGCAGAATATGCTTATTAATGCACTAAAACATCGCGTCAAGCACTGGCAAAAGGCGAGAGTCTCGCTGTGGGGTGGCAGGTGCAACAATTGACTAGCCCGCGGGTACGGTAACTTCGCACGTTGTACAGACAACCAGAATTGAACTCTGCTTCACATCTACGGTATCATAGGCGTAGCACGGTGACCGTCACTGTGCCGTCACACCAAAAGCTTCAGCTTACCGGTAGATCACTGCAGCGCTCCACTCTTCAAGCGCATATGGAAATCGGCAAGTAAACTACTAGCATTCAGTACTGATATATCATATATACAGGCGTGGAGGCAACAAAACGCCACAGGCCGTCGCGCCTCGCTGCCGGGCTCCGCTTTCTTGGGGCACAGCTCACAATGGAACATCAGGCTACTTTTCAGTGCCAATCATGTCGCGCACGGCTCGACCTCCGCGGCGATGCGGATGCACCTGGCGAGCGCCGCGGCCTTGGCCCCGCGCTGATGAGCGCGCTGGAGGGGGGAAGCATAGACGAGTCCTTCATCGTCCTCGACAGCGCGCGGCGGGGGGGCGCAATGGCAGGTGAGCGCACATACTCTTACGCATTCGCTTGCAAGGAGGAGGTGCAAGGCGTCTCATCGTCAATGCCCAACGCATCGTGCAAAGCTGTGCAAACCTGTCAGGAGACACCGCCAGCAAAAGTATCACCGCCTCCTGCATGATTCTCTGTAAGGTGTTGAGCACGCAACCCACCTTGCGGCTGCAGGTGCCGGCCCATCGTCGGCTGCAGCGGCGGCCGGCAGGGGCCTGGAGGAGTCTTTCGTCGTCCTCAACTCCGCGTCAATGCTGCGGCCGCCCGGCACCGGCCCGCCGCAAATGCCCGGCGCACGCTCAGCGGCACCCGCCATGCCGGCCGGCCTTGACAGCACCCGTGCAGTGCGAGGTTTAGACCCATCAGGGGCCTCCGCAGCGGCAGGAGGGCCGGCAGCGGGGGGCCCTCCGCCTCGAGCGAGCTCGGAGGAGGAAGGCGCTGGGCTGCTGCAGGCGCGGGCGGCTGCCACCGCGCAGCAGCTGCCGATGGGCGAGCCGTCGCCGGCGTCGGCGGCCGCGGCAGCGGCGGGGTTTGACGGCAAGCTGCAGTCGCTGACTCAGCTTTTTGAGATGGCCAGCAGCGCGACGGGCGTGGACCACCCGCTCTGCCTCGACTGCGCGGTGCAGCTGAAAGAGGAAGTGGAGGCTCAGGTGTGGGGCGCAGGGGCGTGCTGCTGCCTGCTGACAAAGAAACTGTCGCTGCGGGGCACACTAGGGATCAGCCAAGGCACGCCTGGCTTTCAGCCGCACGCCAACGGTTTCTTCGCAACACCTGTGGTTGTTTCAAGCGGCCTCTGAGCGGAAGCATTGGGAGCCGCCGCCTGACGCATAGCAGCCATACCCTATGTCGCCCCACCAGGTACGTGCTGCCCGCCACGAGGCGTCATGCTACGCTCACGCCCTTTCCAAGCTGGAGCAGGAGGGAGCTGAGCCGATGAGCGAGGTGAGGCCAGACGACCGTCGGTTGCGGCGGGTCACGGCCTGGCCGCTGCTAGCAGCGCGCAGCGGGCGGTAGGCCGCACCACCAGCAGCGGATGATGCTGACCATGCCTTATTTGGCGGACTTCACCCTACCTGATCACCGCCCTTCTTGCTTGTTGTTGTGTGTGATTCCCACAGGCTGAGTTTGAGAGGGAGCTGGCGCAGCTGCGTACGCAGGAGGACGCCGCGCGCACAGCAGAGGCGGAGCTGGAGGCTCAGCTGGCCATCGCGCGGCGAGAGAGCGGCGCGCTCGCGGCGGCGGCAGCCGACGTGGCGGCGCTTGAGGAGCGGTACTGGCACGGCCTAAATGACTACCACTCGCTGCTGGCCGCGCACGTTGCGGAGCGGTGCGCAACTCCCTGCTTTTTCTTGTGTGAGGGAGGGTGGCGAGGCATGAAGAGGCGCAGGCGGATTGCAGGAGCTGGGCGGGAGAGCAGGGCCAGACACGCCGGAGCGCAGGCGGGGCAGCGGCTGCTCATGTCGCAGCCGCCAGTGCACCAGGGAGGCCCTGGGGTCCTGCCCTGCTTGCGGCAGCGCAGCCAATTAAGTGCCCCGATCACAAGGCGCCACCCTGACCCGCCACCCTGACCCACCACCTGACCTGCGCGCGCCCTGGGTCCCCAGAGATTCCCTGCTGACGCGCATCGAGCGCGCCAGCGCGCGCCTGGCCCTGCTCAAGGGCACCAACGTGCTCAACGATGTGTTCCGCATCTGGCACGACGGCCCCTTCGGCACCATCAAGTGAGGGCCCGGCCTTGGGGCGCACACGCGTGGCCCGCATGCCTGGGCCTCTGCAACCAACGCCAAGGGCAGCTGGCGTCTGCCGCACGCGCCCCACGGCCTCTAGCGTGCAAAACTTGGCGCTGGACCGCCCCACGAATCAGTGCGGGCTGACATAATCCCCCGCCCCCGCCCCTGCTTTCCATCCTCGCCGCCGCAGCGGCTGCCGCCTGGGGCGCACTCCAGAGGTGCCTGTCGAGTGGGACGAGATTAACGCGGCCTGGGGCCAGGCGGTGCTGCTGCTGCACACCATGGCGCAGGCCTGCCAGATCACCTTCTCAGGTGGGGGCGCCGCGGGCCGCAGTGTGCACCGGGCGCGTCGTGCTGCCAGTCGGGCGTGCCGCCAGGGAAAAGGGCAGGGGCGACTTTGCCTGCAGCCACACAACACACCGGATTGCTGGTGCGGTCATTGCCCAGCTGGGACCAGAGACAAGGGCGTGCTGGGCTCTGGAGTGTGGCAGGCCGTACAGCTGCAGTGTTGGTCGGGCAGCTGCTCCAACCACCTCCCCTACCCCGCGCCCCGCCCCACCCCCACCTGCCACACAGCCTACCGCCTGCTCCCTATGGGCAGCCACCCGCGCGTGGCGGACCGCCGCGGCACGTACGACCTGTTTGGCCCCGTCAGCAAGCTGTGGGCGCAGAGCTACGACCGCGCCATGGCCATCTACCTCGCCTGCCTCAGGGAGTTTGGGGACTTTGCGCGCGCCAGGTGAGGGGTGGCGGCGCTGGGGCGCGAGGAGGCGCGCAAGCGCTTTGGTGTTGCGCGGACCTCACGTGCCCAGGTCGTTCTGCATATGCGCAGGGCCGAGGGCTTGACAGGAAGGTTGCAGGGAGGGTGCTTTGCGGGCTGCTGAGCAGCTTTCCACCGCTCGACCTTGCACCCTGCAGGGACATCGCCGAAAGCCGCTCCCCTGCTTTTGAGTTCCCCTTCCCTGTTGAAGGCGACAAGGTGCGCACCCTTGCCTGCTCTATGTGGTAATCGATGCTGGCGTTGCCGGCTTGTTGGCTGAGCTGCCGGCTGTAAACTCACGGAAAGGCCTGGCCTTGGTGCCTACCCATCCCTCAGCCAGCCCAGCACCCCTACCAACCCCAACTGCAATACAGGTGGGAAACTACTCTGTGAAGCTGTTCATGCAGACCAAGGACGCCAAGTGGACCAAGGCGCTCAAGCTCATGCTTGCAGACCTCAAGGTCTCGCTGCAGTGGATGGTGCGGCGCGAGGCGCGGCAGGCGGCGCCGGCTCTGCCGGCGCTTGGCCAGGAGGGACCGGCGGTGCTACAAACGGCTGTGTAAACCCTTTGTAAAGAAACATGCAAATCTGTGGGAAGCAGATATCAATTTTTCAGCACCGTACCGGTCCTTCAGTACAGCGCAGCCGTATACACAGCAAACACGTGACATTACGGTACATCCAGTATAAAACGCGACACAAAATTCTCAATCTTTAAAATCACACGGTCTTCGGTACCGTCTGCGATCACCGGTCAACAGCAGTCCGCGGCAACCACGCTGAAGTGCCCTCACGCACAAACAAACTGCTCGTCCGCTATGATCTAGACTGCGCGTGCAGGGTGCTCTCAGCTACCGCGTGCATCGCTGCCGCAGCGCGGCCAGCGCCAAGTCGTGATCGCCGCGTGCAGCAAAGCGGCGGAGGCGATGGATAGCCCACGAGTGCTAGGCGTGGGTGCGGGCATATTTGTCCTGGGTTTCTTCCTGTGAGTGCGGGCTGGCCAGCCGGCGAACAACTTGGGCTGGAGCAGTTGCGGCCTGGTGCCCTGACGCTGTCCAGGCACCTGCGGCAGCACCGACTGGGGTCATGCCTGATGCGACAGGGCTACATACAGGTAGTGGTGTAAACAGCTTGTTTGATGAAAACAATACCCCATGTTGCGTCAATACCCCACAGTGTGGTTAGTGGGGTGCTGTGCATGGTTGGCTCAAGGACGCGGAAGCCAGGGTGAGCACACACAGCCAGCAAGGGTGGCCCGTGCAGAGAGCAGGGTGTGCTCGACGGGCTGATGACTGTGTGTGAGCTGTGCTCACCCAATCGGGTGGCCCTCAACTGAGCTCCCCAGCATGCGCCTTGGATCACCCGTACATCTTGATCTGCATGCACCCTCTTGTGTGGCCGCAGCGTCGTCTATGGGCTCAGCGCGCTGCTCTACGCAATCGTGGCGGCCGTGCTGCTGGGCAGCCCAAAGGGCGATCGGCCTCCCTCAGCCCCTGAGGTGCGCCAGAAACAAAAATTGGGGCACGTGAAAGCAGTAGTGGTCTCACCAAGCCGATTGTGGGCCGATGCTCCTTTCACCCCCAGAGTGCTCATTGAGCCCGCTGCAACCCCTCTGCAGGGCTATGACCGCACTATTGTCCCCATGGTGCTGACGGGAATCTTCATTGCAGCTGGCGCGGCACTCAGTGCGGGGGGGTTCCTGCTGTTCCACGTTCGTGCTGCAGTATACGCACGGCCGATCAGCTATGCGGTGGATGTGCTGGGACGGCGATGATGCTGTGGAATGCCGGTGGTGCGCTCGATATCTGGGCAGGGGTTAGCGCAAACACCTTGTAGCTGCTGTCTGTGCTTGGTGGCACAGAATTAGTGGGCTGTTGTGGACGCGGCCTATCATGATGGCTAGCAGTACCGTTTGATTGCACAGATGGCTCGATGTTTGGTGCATCGAGTGGTGGCATACCCCCCATGACTTGTGCAGCCCCGTCTGTCTACAGTGTAGCGTTGTGACAACAGGCGGCCTCGGGTGGCCTAGCAGTGGCCGGCTGTGAGCACGGGGGCATCGATTAAAGGGTGACACTGTGGTGGCGGCTGGGGGATCAGTGCACTGGTGATGAGCGGGACGGTGCTGGGCCAGAGCCCATGCGCTGAATTGCGGCACATCACGGCTTGCTGGCAATATGCAGATGGACAGCACAGACACCGGCCCATATCCTGGAAAACCGCCAGAGTATGGTGCGTATGTACAGGGGCTGCGCGGGTGCTGGAAACGTCCTCTCACGCCGCGTTGGCACATTTGAGGTCGCGGCGACAGTGGGTACAGGGGGGCAGCACAGGCACAATTGACTGTGACCCATGTTACGCACGGAGGCGACGGTGACTCGGCTTTGATAAAGGCCGGTTGGTGCTGACTGCTGCAGGAGCGCACCCTGCCCAGCAGTGCTGCCAAAAACTCTTGTGCAAGGGTGTCCTGTCCTTTACACTCGGGATGGCGCGTACTGGCCAGCAGGGCGTGCGCAACGCAGAGGGCGTCGCTTGAACATGGCGGTGACGGCTGAGCGCCAGATGCGTGGCCACTTGGCACAGGCGGTGCAGGCGCTTGATGAACGCCGGCACAGTCGAAAGAAAGAGGATAAAAGCGCGCATATGCTGGACCTCAGCACTCTGTTGCCGCAGGCACTAATGAAAGCTATGAAAAGCATATTGCAGGATGGTGCGCGATTGTCCTCGCGCCCGCCCTCCTGCCAAAAAAAAATCAGCCACGCATGAGCTGATCAGCTGCGCCGGACAGGCAGGCGCCGCTACGCCCTGTTGGCTGCTGTGGCGCGGCCCCGCCCTCGGTGGCGTGACCAGTGTAAGGGGACGGAGTGCGCCTAGGTCCTGCCGGGCGCTGTGCTGCTGGCTGCTGTCCAGGCCGTGAGTGTGCTACCAGAGGTCGTTGAATCGTGACAGTGTGGTGTGGGCCTCCTGGAGCTCCTTCTGGACCTGGGAGGAGGGGGGTGTATTGTGTGTGTGTGTG